AATTGATAAGAACATTAAGAAGTTCAAAAAACAAATTCTTGAACTACAGAAATCCTTAATGGACAAGATAGAAAATCTCTCTCGAGAAAATGAAATATTAAGGAGGAATCAAAATGAAATGAAACAACTAGTACAACAGGAAACTGTGATAGTGACGAGAAATCATAACGAAGTGAAGAATTCAACAGATCAAATGACAAACACACTAGAGAGCCTTAAAAACAGAATGGGTGAAGCAGAAGAGAGAATATCAGACTTAGAAGACAGAGAACAGGAAAGGATACAGTCAGACCAAAGAAAAGAAGAGGAAATTAGAAATCTAAAACATATTGTCGGGAATCTTCAGGATACTATTAAAAACCCAACATTTGGGTTCTAAACACGACCAAAAGAGATCCTCACCACGACACATTGTAATTAAACTCACCACAGTGAAACATAAAGAAAAGATCCTAAAATATGCAAGAGAGAAATGTCAGATTACTCTCAGAGAATCTCCAATTAGATTCACAGATGACTTCTCATCAGAAACCCTACAAGATAGGAGGGAATGGCGAGATATAGCCCAGGTACTAAGAGAGAACAACTGCCAGCCCAGAATATTATATCCTGCAAAGCTATCATTTGTGAATGAAGGTGAAATAAAGACCTTTCATAGCAAACAGAAATTGAAAGAATTTGTCGCTACTCGTCCAGCCCTACAAAAGATGCTTAAAGATGTGTTACACACAGAAACACAGAAACACGGTCATCAATATGAAAGAAGGTAAAGGAAGGAAACCTCACAGCAAAAGATCACAGGGAATTCAAAGCATATATTAGAACATATCTTTGGCAAATGGCAGGGCAAAGTGACCACTTATCATTAGTCACATTGAACATTAATGGCCTGAACTGTCCAGTTAAAAGACACCGATTGGCTGATTGGCTCAAGGAACAAAACCCATCTATTTGCTGCTTACAAGAAACACATCTTTCCAACAAAGATGCATACAGACTGAAAGTGAAAGGCTGGAAAAAGATATACCATGCCAACAGAAATGAAAAAGGAGCAGGCGTAGCCATCTTAATATCGGACAACATAAACTTTACCACAAAAACTGTTAAGAGAGACTAAGAGGGACACTATATAATGATTAAGGGATCAATTCAACAGGAAGATATAACAATTATCAATGTATATGCACCTAACTACAGGGCACCGGTTTATTTAAAAGATTTGTTAAGGGACTTAAAGGGAGACTTAGACCCCAATACAATACTACTGTGGGACTTCAATACTCCACTCTCAGAAATAGACAGATCAATAGGACAGAAGATCAACAAGGAGACAGTTGATTTAAATGACACTATAGCACAAATGGATCTAACAGATATCTACAGAACATTCAATCCTACAGCTAAAGATTTCACATTCTTCTCAGCAGTACATGGAACCTTCTCTAGGATTGACCACATACTAGGCCATAAAGCAAGTCTCAGCAAATTCAGAGGAATTAGAATCATACCATGCAGCTTCTCAGACCATAAAGGAATGAAGTTGGAAATTAGCAACTCAGGAATCCCTAGAGCATATGCAAACACATGGAGATTGAACAACATGCTCCTGAATGAACAATGGGTCATAGAAGAAATTAAACGAGAAATCAAAAATTTTCTGGAAGTAAATGAGGATAACAGCACAACATACAAAAACTTAAGGGACGCAGCAAAAGCAGTGTTAAGAGGAAAGATTATATCAATAGGTGCCTATATCAAGAAATTGGAGAGGCACCAAATAGATGAGCTTTCAACTCATCTCAAGGATCTAGAAAATCTGCAGCAAACCAGACCCAAATCTACTAGGAGAAGAGAAATAATTAAAATCAGAGAAGAAATCAACAGGAATGAATCAAAAAAAAAAAAACATTACAACAAATCAGCCAAACGAGGAGCTGGTTTTTTGAAAAAATAAACAAAATTGACACCCCATTGACCCAGCTAACTAAAAAAAGAAGAGAAAAGACAAAAATCAATAAAATCAGAGATGAAAAAGGAAATGTAACAACAGACACCACAGAAATCAAAAGAATCATCAGAAATTACTACAAGGACTTGTATGCCAGCAAACAGGGAAACCTATCAGAAATGGATAGATTCCTGGACACATGCAACCTACCTAAATTGAACCAGGAAGACATAGAAAACCTAAATAGACCCATAACTGAGACAGAAATTGAAACAGTAATAAAGGTCCTCCCAACAAAGAAAAGCCCAGGATCAGAAGGATTCACTGCTGAATTCTACCAGACATTTAAAGAAGAACTAACTCCAATTCTTCTCAAACTATTCAGAACAATCGAAAAAGAGGGAGTCCTCCCAAATTCTTTCTATGAACCCAGCATCACCTTAATTCCTAAGCCGGAAAAAGATGCAGCACTGAAAGAGAATTACAGACCAATATCCCTGATGAACATAGATGCAAAAATCCTCAATAAAATCTCGCCAATAGAATGGAACAACACATCAGAAAGATCAACCACCCAGACCAAGTGGGATTTATCCCTGGTATGCAGGGATGGTTCAATGTGCACAAATCAATCATTATGATACACCATATTAACAGACCATATGATTATTACAATAGATGCCGAGAAAAACCATATGATTATTGCAATAGATGCCGAGAAATCATTTGATAAAATACAACACCCTTTCATGATGAAAACTATAAGCGTACTGGGTATGGGAGGAACATTCCTCAATACAATCAAAGCAATCTATGAAAAACCCACAGCCAACATCCTATTGAATGGGGAAAAGTTGGAAGCATTTCCACTGAGATCTGGTACCAGACAGGGATGCCCACTCACCACTGCTATTCAATATAGTTCTGGAGGTTTTAGCCAGAGCTATTAGGCAAGAAAAAGAAATTAAAGGGATACAAATGGGGAAGGAAGAATTCAAACTATCCCTCTTTGCAGATGATATGATTCTTTATTTAGGGGATCCAAAGACCTCTACTAAGAGACTATTGGAACTCATAGAAGATTTTGGCAAAGTAGCAGGGTATAAAATCAATGCACAAAAATCAACAGCCTTTGTATACACAGGCAATGCCACGGCTGAGGAAGAACTTCTAAGATCAATCCCATTCACAATAGCTACAAAAACAATCAAATACCTTGGAATAAACTTAACCAAGGACGTTAAGGATCTCTATGATGAAAATTACAAAACCTTAAAGAAAGAAATAGAAGAGGATACCAAAAATGGAAAAATCTTCCATGCTCATGGATTGGAAGAATCAATATAACCAAAATATCCATTCTCCCAAAAGAAATTTATACATTCAATGCAATACCAATCAAGATACCGAAGACCTTCTTCTCAGATCTGGAAAAAAATGGTGCTGAAATTTATATGGAGACACAAGAGACCTCGAATAGCTAAAGCAATCTTGTACAACAAAAACAAAGCTGGAGGCATCTCAATACCACATTTCAAACATACTACAGGGCAGTTGTAATCAAAACAGCATGGTACTGGTACAGAAACAGATGGATAGACCAATGGAACAGAATTGAAACACCAGAAATCAATCCATACATCTACAGCCAACTCATATTTGATCAAGGGTCCAAAACCAATCCCTGGAGTAAGGACAGTCTATTCAACAAGTGATGCTGGGAAAATTGGATTTCCACATGCAGAAGCATGAAGCAAGACCCCTACCTTACACCTTACACAAAAATTCACTCTACATAGATTAAAGACTTAAATCTACAACCTGACACCATCAAATTATTAGAGAGCATTGGAAAAACCCTGAAAGATATAGGTACTGGCAATGAATTCTTGGAAAACACCCCAGAAGCACAGGCAGTCAAAGCCAAAATTAACATTTGGGATTGCATCAAATTGAGAAGTTTCTGTACTGCAAAAGAAACAGTCAGGAGAGTGAAGAGACAACCGACAGAATGGGAAAATATATTTGCAAACTATGCAACTGATAAAGGGTTGATAACCAGAATCTACAAAGAAATCAAGGAACTCCACAAAAACAAAACAAACAACCCACTTAAGAGATGGGCCAAGGACCTCAATAGACATTTTTCAAAAGGGGAAATCCAACGGGCCAACAGACACATAAAAAAATGTTCAAGATCACTAGCAATCAGGGAAATGCAAATCAAAACCACAATGAGGTCCACCTCACCCCAGTTAGAATGGCTCACATTCAGAAATCTACCAACAATAGATGCTGGAGATGATGTGGGGAAAAAGGGACACTAACCCAGTGTTGGTGGGAATGCAAACTGGTCAAGCCACCACGGAAGTCAGTCTGGAGATTCCTCAGAAATCTGAACATAACCCTACCATTCAACCCAGCCATCCCACTCCTTGGAATTTACCCAAAGGAAATTAAATGGGCAAACAAAAAAGCAGTCTGCACATTAATGTATTGCAGCTCAATTCACAATAGCTAAGACCTGGAACCAACCCAAATGCCCATCAACAGTAGACTTGGTAAAGAAATTATGGGACATGTACTCTATCGAATACTATACAGCAGTCAAAAACAACAAAACCCAGTCATTTGCAACAAGATGAGGAATTTGGAAAACATCATGCTGAGTGAATTAAGCCAGTCCCAAAGGGACAAATATCATCTGTTCTCCCTGATCTGCGACAACTAACTGAGCACCAAAGGGGAAACTTGTTGAAGTGAAATGGACACTATGAGAAACAGTGACTTGATCAGCTCTTGTCCTGACGGTTGATGTACAATGTAATACTTTATGCATTTTAGTATTTTTTTTTTGTTCTAGTACCATTGGTTGAACTCTGTAATTAACACACAATTATTCTTAGGTGTTTAAATTTTAACTGAAAAGTGATCCCTGTTAGGAATTTGGAAAACATTATGTAGAGTGAAATAAGCCAATCCCAAAGGGACAAATACCACTTGTTCTCCTTGATAGGTGACAACAACTGAGCACCAAAAAGGAAACCTGTTAAAGTGAAATGAACACTATGAGAAATGGTGACATGATCAGCCCTCACCCTGACTGTTGATGAGCAGCTTAATATGTTATCCCTCTTAGTATTTTTTTTGTTTGTTCTACTTAATACTTTTGGTTGAATACTGTAATCAATACACAATTCTTAAGTGCTGAAACTTAACTGAAAAGTGATCGCTGTTAAATATAAGAGTGGGAATAAGAGAGGGAAGAGATGTGCAATTCGGGACATGCTCAAGCTGACTTACCTCAAACGGTAGAGTTAGAAACATACCAGGGGATTCCAATTCAATCCCATCGAGGTGGCATGTACCAATGCCATCTCACTAGTCCCAGTGATCAATTTCTGTTCACAATTGATCATAATGATAGGACTAAGAACCAAAGGGATCACATAAACAAGAATAGCGTCTGCAAATACTAGCTGATAAAATAAAAAAGGGAGAGAATGATCCAACATGGGAAGTGAGATACACAGCAGACCCATAGAATGGCAAATGTCCTAACAGCACTCTGTCCTCATAATCAGCCCTTAAGGCATGCGGATCTGGCTGAAATGCCCATGAGAGTATTTCAGGCATGGAAAGCCAAGACACTCTGGGGAAAAAGAAAAAAAACCTAAATGAAATATCTCCATGAGTGAGATCCCAGTGGAAAGAATGGGTCATCAAAGAAGGAGGTACCTTTCTCTGAAGGGAGGAGAGAACTTCCACTTTGACCATGGCCTTGTCTAAATATGATCAGAGTCAGTGAACTCAGGGGGCTTCCATAGCCTTGGCAGCTCATGACAAGAGCCTCGGGTGATTACTGATGCCATAAACAAGAGTGTCAATTTGTTAAGTCAACAACAGGAGTCACTGTGCACTTACTCCTCATGTAGGATCTTTGTCCTTAGTGTGCTATACATTGATATTTAATGCTATAACTAGTACTCAAACAGTATTTTTCACTTTATGTTTCTGTGTGGGAGCAAACTGTTGAAATCTTTACTTAATGTATGCTAAACTGATCTTCTGTATATAAAGAGATTCCAAAAAGGTGCACAAAAAAAATGCCAAATTACTTTCAGAGGATCTCCAATTATACTTACAATGGACTTCTCATAAGAAACCCTACAGGCAAGGAGTGCAAGACATAGTCTAAGTCTTAATACAACATTGTCAACCCAGAATACTGTATCCTGCAAAGCTCTCATTTAAGAATGACAATGAAATAAAGACCATTTGTAACAAGAGTAGGAAGAATTTTCAATCACAAAGTGGCATTACAAAAGATGTTTTAAATGAAGTGCTACACTAAGAAACACAGAAAGATAGTCATCATGATAAAAGAATGAGAAGGGCTGGCACTGTGTTATAGCAGATAATGCCACCACCTACAGCACCAGCATCCCTTATGGGCACTGATTCAAGTCCCGACTGCTGCACTTCTGATCCAACTCCCTGCTAATGTGCCTGGAAAAGCAGCTGAAGAGGGCTCAGGTCCTTGGGCCCCTGCACCCATATGGGAGACCTGAAATAAGCTCCAGACTCCTGGTTTCAGATTGGCCCAGCTCCAGCCAGTGCAGCCAATTTGGGAGTATGCCAGTGGATTGAAGACCTCTCTCTCTCTGGCCTCTGACTCTGGCTCTATGTAACTCTGCCTTTCAAACAAATAAATAATCTTTCAAAAATCTGAAAGCAAAAAAAAAAATACTCGAGCAAAAGTACAAAAGAAATCCAAAGTAAACAATAGGAAACTTTATGAAACAATGTCAGGACAAAGTCATTACTTATCAACAGTCACTTTGAATGTAAATGGCCTCAACTCTCCAGTTAAAAGGTACAGACTGGCTGAATGGATTAAAAACAAAACCAATCTGCTTGCTGCCTACAAGAAACATCTCACCAACAACGATGCATGCAGACTGAAAGTGAAAGGATGAGAAAAGATATTCTATGCCAATGGAACACAAAACAGGACAGATGTAGCAATGCTAATAGCAAAGGAAAGAGACTTTAAACAAAAACTACTAAAAGAGACAAAGAATGGCACTATATAATGATTAAGGGATCAATTCAACAGGAAGATGCAAGTATAAATAAATGTATATGCACAGATGCTTAGGGTCCTGTGTGAATTTTCTGATGGATTATAAGATGTGACTTCTTGCCAAAGGCTTTTCCAGTCATTACATTCATAAGGTTTCTCCCCTGTGTGAATTCTCTGATGTTTGATGATTACTGACTCCAGCCAAAGGCTTTTCAGGATTCATTACATTCTTAAGGTTTCTCCCCTATGTGAATTCTCTGATGGATTATGAGATGTGACGTCTGGCCAAAGGCTTTGCCACAGTCATTACATTCATAAGGTTATTCCCCTGTGTGAATTCTCTGATGGATTATGAGTTGTGACTTACAGCTGTAGGCTTTGCCACAGTCATTACATTCATAAGGTTTCTCCCCTGTGTGAATTTTCTGATGGATTATGAGCTGTGACTTATAGCCAAAGGATTTGCCACAGTCATTGCATTCATGAGGTTTCTCCCCTGTGTGAATCTTCTGATGTTTGATGAGGTCAGACTTATAGCCGTAGGCTTTGCCACAGTCATTACATTCATAAGGTTTCTCCCCTGTGTGAATTCTCTGATGGATTATGAGATGGGACTTTTGGCCAAAGGCTTTTCCACATTCCTTGCAATCATAAGGTTTCTCCCCTGTGTGAATTCTCTGATGGATTATGAGATGTGACTTACAGGTGAAGGCTTTTCCACATTCCTTGCATTCATAAGGTTTCTCCCCTGTGTGAATTCTCTGATGTTTGATGAGGTCAGACTTACAGCCGAAGGCTTTGCCACAGTCATTACATTCATAAGGTTTCTCTCCTGTGTGAATTCTCTGATGCGTGATGAGGTTAGACTTACAGCCATAGGCTTTGCCACAGTCATTACATTCGTAAGGTTTCTCCCCTGTGTGAATCCTCTGATGTTTGGTAAGGTCCGACTTACGGCCAAAGGCTTTGCCACAGTCATTACATTCATAAGGTTTCTCCCCTGTGTGAATCCTCTGATGTTTGGTGAGGTCAGACTTACAGCCGTAGGCTTTGCCACAGTCATTACATTCATAAGGTTTCTCCCCTGTGTGAATCCTCTGATGGCTAGTGATTGCTGACTTCTTGCCAAAGGCTTTTCCACATTCCTTGCATTCATAAGGTTTCTCCCCTGTGTGAATTCTATGATGGATTATGAGATATGACTTACAGGTGAAGGCTTTTCCACAGTCATTACATTCATAAGGTTTCTCCCCTGTGTGAATCCTCTGATGTCTAGTGATTGTTGACTTCTTGCCAAAGGCTTTTCCACATTCCTTGCATTCATAAGGTTTCTCCCCTGTGTGAATTCTCTGATGGATTATGAGATGTGACTTACAGGTGAAGGCTTTTCCACAGTCATTACATTCATAAGGTTTCTCTCCTGTGTGAATTCTCTGATGTTTGAGGAGATCTGCCTTATAGCCAAAGACTTTTCCACATTCCTTGCATTCATGAGGTTTCTCCCCTGTGTGAATTCTCTGATGTTTGATGAGGTCAGACTTACAGCCGTAGGCTTTGCCACAGTCATTACATTCATAAGGTTTCTCCCCTGTGTGAATCCTCTGATGTTTGATGAGGTCAGACTTATAGCCATAGGCTTTGCCACAGTCATTACATTCATAAGGTTTCTCCCCTGTGTGAATCCTCTGATGCTTGATGAGGTCAGACTTATAGCCATAGGCTTTGCCACAGTCATTACATTCATAAGGTTTTTCCCCTGTGTGAATTCTCTGATGGCTAGTGATTGTTGACTTCTTGCCAAAGGCTTTTCCACATTCCTTGCATTCATAAGGTTTCTCCCCTGTGTGAACTCTCTGATGGGTTATGAGTTGTGACTTAGAGCCAAAGACTTTTCCGCAGTCATTACATTCATGAGGTTTCTCCGTGGTGTGAATTTTCCAATGTTTGATTAGGTCTGTCTTCAAGCCACAGGCTTTTCCACAGTCATTACATTCATGAGGTTTCTCACCTTTGTGGATTCCCTTATGTTTGATGAGCTGTGACTTGCACAGAAAGGCTTTTCCACAGCCATTGCATTCATAAGGTTTCTCTCCTGTGTGAATTCTCTGATGCACTACAAGCTGTGACTTCTTGCCAAAGGCTTTTCTACAGTCTTTACAATCATGAGGTTTATCCTCTGTATGAATTCTTTGCTGTGTTATGAGGTATGATTTCTGGAAAATGGTTTTTTGGAACTCATTACATTCATGAGGTTTCTTCTTTGTGTGAATTTTCTGATGTCTAATGAGATCTAACTTCTGGTACGTGGTTTCTCCACATTCATTACACACATGGGAGATCCTACAAGGCTGACATGCATAAGGTTTTTTCTCTGTATGTTGTCTCTGATCTATTGGAAGATCTGATTTGTAAATGAGAGGTTCCACATACCCCATATCTTCATAGAGTTTCTCTCCTGTGTTGATTTGTTGATGCTTACTGAGGTTAGTATTTTTATGAAGAGTTTCTTCTATTTGAGTTGTCTTTCCAACAGTAATTGTTGACTTATTACAGGGGTCTCCCATATGGACCGTGCAAAATCTAAAGAATATCTTCTTCCTTTTGAAGTCTTTCCCCTGTCCACTATGTTCAAATGAAGGCTTCACAGTCTGAATCTTGTGATCCTCACTAAGATGCTCACAGCACTGGACAGAGTTCCCAGGTACCTTAGCGGCATCAAGCTTCTCTCCAGCTTGCAGCTCATCAGGCCCACCATGGGGATGCACATTGTGACATACATTGCATTCCTCAGGTTTCATTGCTGAATAACTTCCCTTTTTGATAATCAGTTTTGAAACATGACTTGAACTTAAATTAAGTCTTTTTATTAATTCAACTCTCTTGGGAGTTGATGTCTTGCTATTTGTCATAACATCCTGCTTGAAATCTTTTTCTTGAATTTCCTGGTTCATCCTAATTATGTCATCACTTTTCATGGCAACTGAAATGAGGAAAACAAAAATCACTGAATCACATATATGTGCTTTCTCCTGGAATACTGATGTAAAGGGAATGAAGTTTCTTGTTATCTAAGTGGAATAAGATTTTAACATAATCAGTGGAAGACACTTATTTATGCTCATTATGATTTTTTTTTCCTTAAGACATTGATATATTAGGTTGTACCAATAGATTTCTTAATTTTCAATCATGATCATGTTTACTACTTGAATTTTATTCAAGTATGGCAGAATTGCTTTCCTGGTTAGATGTATTAATTTGCTGCTTATGGTGCCTTCATCCCAAAATAGTGCCAGTATGAGCCCTGGCTACTCCGATTCCAATAAAGCTCTAGCTTATGTAAACTAGAAGGCAGCAAATAATGGTTCAAGTGCTTGGGACCCTGTGATATGTTAGGGAAGATTAGATGAAATTCCAGACTTTTGGCTTCAGACTAGTCAGACCTAAATTTCACAGGCATTAGGGGAGTGAGCTAATAAACAATCTCTGTCTCTCCTCCTCTTATTGTCATTCTAGTCTTTAGCATTGATGAGACAACTATAAGATTTTAAAGAATGGACAAATATTTAATAAATATATTCCCCCATTGCCTAGCAACCAGTTTTTTCCTGTACTTTTTCAACCATAAATATTGGAATGTTTTACTGGATCATTTACTTACAGGTGAAGAAGAGTGAAATGTGTCTGTACTCTAAACAGGATCACGTTTAAGGAACAAGATTTGAATTTATGGTTGTCTCATGTTCAGTCTTCCCAGGTAAACAGCATTTGTGGGATTTTGCAAATGAGAAACTTTTATTTGCACTCTATGACAGCTTCCCCATATTCCTAAGGAAATCTAACATCTTCAGCTTCTCAGAACTACAGCAGTTACAGAAATATAGCAATGTGCCACCCTACCACTTTCTGACAGCTTAAAGAATTTGTTTCTGCAGCCCAGAGTGTGTTTACTTTCTTTGAAAAGTATTTTCTAGCTCATTCTGAAATCATGAGCCCTAGTTATATCCCCTCAGGTTTTTTCTATAAACATTTTTTTGTGTGATAATTTGAGTTTCTGGAGGAATTGATCAGCTGTCTCTTATTTTCAAAGAAATTTTCATTTCCTATGCCTTTGTTATCTTTATTGTTTATTTGAGACAGAATTCATGCTTCTAACTTTTAAACAAATCTGAGACATTCAACATGAAACCATGAAGTTACTTGACCTTGGGATTCAGAATCTCAAGACTTTCTTGGTGAGTTTAGGATCACTTATTTTCATGTTTTTACATAAGTTCATGCTTAGCTTCAGGGTTTCTGATGTCATTGCACAGAGGCCTACTTCTGACCATTTCTTAGCATTTACTTATTCATTTACATACTTGAGAGTTAGAGAGATGGAGAATTAGACAAAAAGGGAGAATGAAACAGAAGATTGCCAGCCACAGGCTCTCTCCTCCAATGTTTCTAGCAACCTATTTTTTTTCTTATTTTATTTGAAAGGCACAGAGAAAGAGAAAAGAGAGAGAGAAAGAGAAAGCGTACACATTTATTGGTTCAGTTGTGAGATGCTTAAAATAGCAAGCTCTGTGCCTGGCCAAAACCATGAGTGGGGACTCAATCTGAAACAAGTCTCTATAACTTGCCCAACTTATAAGAAATGAAGACAGGCTGGCATTGTGGCATGGTGGCTACATCCCCGCCTGCAGTGCTGGCATCCCCAATGGGTGCCGGTTCAAGACCCAGCTGCTCCACTTCCTATCCAGCTCTCTGCTATGTCCTGGGAGAACAGTGGAGGATGGTCCAAGCTGGAAGAAGCTCCTGACTCCTGGTTTTGGATCAGCATAGCTCCAGCCATTGTGGCCAATTGGGGAGTGAACCAGCAGATGGAAGACCTTTCTCTACCTCTCATTCTCTTTCTGTGTAACTCTTTCAAGCCAAATAAATAAATCTTAAAAAAAAAAAGAACTGAAGAATAGAATAAATGCATGAAGGAAAAGTTATTATAGAAGGACAAGTTAGAATCTGGGGACTATATCTAACCTAGAAAAACCCTTAGTAACATCAGAAAAAGATTAGAATTTTTTTTAATCAAAGATCATCTTCATCAAGAAAAAAGAGTTAGAGATATAATGGCATCCTTAGAAACTCTAGAATCCCTTGTCTGATGCACAAAACCAGGTGTCATCAGGAGTAACACTTGGGAAAATTTCATGGAAAGAACATCAGTCAACATCTGTTATGTGCGTACTGACCTGGAAGGCTCTGATTTAGGCATTTGTTCACCATCCATGGCTCTCCTCCTTGCTCCAACTTAAAGATCAAATCAGGCTTAGTGATGCAGTGTCCTATTTAATGCAAACAATGTAAGATTTTGTAAAACTGCTATCTTGGGTTATTTAAAAGACTACAGCTTATTCCAGGAGCTATGCAACAAATGTTCCAATTTGGATCCTTTCCTAGATGGTAGACATACAGATTATTTATGGAATCAAATTCTATACCTGCCCATCATTAAACTTTATAAAGTGTTCACTTATTTTTCAAATAGCAAGAAAATGCTATCATTGGATATGTGATGGGTGTCACTCACCCAAGAAAAGCAGGCTATTGTAGGTCTCCAACATCACATCCCTGTACAGAATTTTCTGAGCTTTATTCATGTTCTGCCATTCCTCCCAGGTAAAGTAAATAGCCAGGTCTTCAAATGTTAGCATCATCTGTAAAAGAACATTTCTGGTCAACATATTAACTCTGTCACAAAACAAAGACTGACAGTTTTCATCTTGTACATGGGTATGAAGGAAGAAGGAAGGATGGGTTTTCATTTTAGAATTATTGAGCATTTGGACAGCCACACAGAAGCATTCAGCAGGGAGTCAAACCTATGGTCTAAAGACTGTTAAAAATGCCACAACTGGAAGAAAACAGGAGTTTCAGGTCACAAGGGGCCACATATGTCAAGGGGAATTGCACAGCAGGTTGAAAGGAAGAAAATATTGACTCTTCAATAAGCCATGTTAAGGGGAAGAATGTAGAGTATTCAGGTGAAAAGACAAGAAACCATCAGTGGAGCTATGTTGGGAGTGAACACAGAAGAATTTTCAGAAAAACACCATGCAAAGTCACTTCAAATATGGCAGAGAAAAAATATTTTTAAAAAGAGGGCAGGCATTCATCTTGGTGTTTATGATGCCAGCTAAGATACCCTACTTCTACCTCAAAGTACCTAGGTTCAATTTCCAGTGCCAGTTCCAGTTTCCAGCTCCCAGCTAATGCTGCAGAAGCAGTAGTGATGCCACCAATGAGAAAGAGCTAGACTCCATTCCTGACTTCTGGCTTCAGTCCTGCCCAACCTTTCTTGGTATGGGTATTTATGGAGTGAATAAGTGCATGGGAGCTCTCTCTTCATTTCTCTCTTGGTCCATCAACTTCTTTCTCAATCAAGCCCATAATTATTTTTAAATAAGAGAGAATATTCAAGTAAGACAAAGAATAGAAAATATCTTTTGACTTTGACTATGCTTATTTTACATTTGAAGAACTGAGATAACATTATTAAAATTAAATTAAGGTAAAAACAATGGAATTAATTGCCCAAAAACAGAACTTGGGAAAGTGTGCAGTGTAATCTGGATTTGTGACTAACTGAGAGAAATGCATAGAGATTTGTTTAAGAACTTGCAGTAGGCACCAGTGTGGTGCAGACAGTTAAGCCTCCAATTGCAATGCTGGCATCTCATGGTATCATACTATTTGAGTCCAGGGTACTCCACTCCAATCTAGCTCTCTGCTAAAGTTCCTGAAAGATCAGTGAAATGTTGCTTAAATATTTGGGCTCCTTCAACTAATATGGGAGACCTAGATGGAATTCCAGGCTCCTGGCTTTGGTCTGAACCAGTCTCAGCCATTATGTTCATTTGGGGATTGCACCAGTAGATGGAAGGAGTCTCTTTCTGCTCATCTCTCCCAAGCTCTCTAGCTCTGCCTTTCAAATAAATAAATAAATCTTAAAAAAATAAAAGAACCTGCAGTACATTCTTTTCCCCACACATTCCTGATCCTATCCCTGAATCAAATTCAGCTTCTCAAAACAATTAAGGATTGCATTACTCTAACAATTCAAATACAAGCTTAACTGATTTGTGTTTTTTAATACTATGTAACTCTTACCCTTGCAGAATGCTAAGTGTTTATTTCCAGGGTAGCATGAAAACACTGATCACTACATCATCTTTGCTATTTCAGACATCATGACCCAAAAAATTTAGCAAATCGTACTGTAAGTTTCAACTCAAAACATGTAACACATGTATATTTTGCTATGGCAACAGAAAGACCAGAGGCCAAATTGCTGTATCTCAGATGATTGTAATGTTTTATAATCATGGCAAATTCATCATTCATCTTGTTTGTGTACACTCCCTAAGAGTGAATTTTATGTTTATTTTTCCATTTTAATTAATAAATTATTAAAATTCTCCTAAAATGAAAACTGACAGCAAGCTGAGGAATAATTAAGAAAACCTTTTACAGGTGATGTAATAATTTTGTTTAGTTTTGAAAATATGTGGAGGTACCCAAATTATACCTGGAAGAGAAGATAAATGGAAGGAGTTAAAAGAAAACTTACCTGGTTTCCTTTTACACTGAACTAGAAAAAAGAAAAAATGTGATACAATGAATAAAGAGTAATGAATACATTAACTGAGGAAACATCAGCTTCCCTGTGGAGGAATAAACATTTAAACGTGGAAATATATAAGAAAGCACATCCACTTCTATTAAGTAGTAGAGATTAAACAGAATCATCATTGGCTTAATGAAAGCATTGTCTACAAATTTTGTAAAATAGTAGTAAAATTTAAGGGTGATTGTTCAAATAAATGAAGTTATTGAAGAGATAAACATTATACTGTCACTAAATTTTACACTAAAGAAAGTTATTTTGGGCCAGCGCCCCAGCTCAATAGGCTAATCCTCTGCCTTGCCGCGCCAGCACACTGGGTTCTAGTCCCAGTCAGGGCGCCGGATTCTGGCCTGGTTGCCCCTCTTCCAGGCCAGCTCTCTGCTGTGGCCCGGGAGTGCAGTGGAGGATGGCCCAAGTGCTTGGGCCCTGCACCCCATGGGAGAACAGGAGAAGCACCTGGCTCCTGCCTTTGGCACGGTGTGCCGGCCGCGGCGGCCATTGGAAGGTGAACCAATGGCAAAGGAAGACTTTTCTCTCTGTCTCTCTCTCTCACTGTCCATTCTGCCTGTCAAAAAATATATATATACATATATACATAATGTATATTTAATGCAGTACACTTTACCAGTAATGATTCCAAATGAAACCATTCCCTTTATCCATGCCTTCATAAGACTCTGGATTTCATTTTTCATTTTCTTAACCCCCTGGGATATCAGTAAATGTGATAGAAAAAGATAGGTTGCAAAGTATTTGTCTTGTCAGATTTTCCTTATCTTTTAGAAAGCACTGGGTCCTGCCCATTGAAGAGATAGGATCTTACCAAGATTCATCACAAACCACCAGCCATTTAAATGAAGCCATCTCTAAGTCATGAGTGTCAATCAGCTCCTAAGATGACTAAACCCTCATTTCTGATCACAGGCTGATCATAGGAACTGCCCATCTGAGCCCATCACAAAATATTGAATTGGAATTATAAATCAAATGGCTATTTGTTAAGCCATGATGTTATTGCATTTTCTGATTTGTCCTACATCAAATTCTGATACACCCTGGTGAGCAGGAGAGAAAGTTCCATTAAAGTGCAAAATAAAATTAATTGAATTTCAGTCATGTAAAAGTTTCCATAAATATAGACCTGCACTGCCACATAAAAAGTAAAATTTCCATCTGCAATGCAAGCAACCCCATATGCTTTGTATTCTGGCTGCTCTGCTTTTGATCCTGCTCCCTTCTAGTGGACTGAGAAAAGCACTGGAAGAAGTCACAAGTACTTGGGTAAATGCTACTAATACAGGAGACCCAGAAGAAGTGCTTGGCCTCATCCTGCTTATTGTAGCATTCTGGGGTAGTGATCCAGCAGCTGGAAGATCAGTGTGTCTCCCTCTCTCTCTCTCTCTCTCTCTCTCTCTCTATATATATATATATATATATATATAAAACACTTTCAAATACTTTTAAAAAATCTTAGAAAAAAAGCTCCTATAAACATGATCTATGCCTATGAATTGCATCTTAGCCCCAAAGTTGATGACACTAAAAAAAAAAAAAAAAAAGTCCTCCAAGAGCCAGTGCTGTGGCATAGTGGGTAAAGCTGCCACCTCCAGTGTAGGCATCCCGAATGGGTGCCAGTTCAAGTCCTGGCTGATCCCCATCCAATCCAGCTCTCTGTTATGGCCTAGAAAAGTGATAGAAGATGGCCCAAGTCCTTGGGTCCCTGCACCCACATGGGAGACCAGGAAGAAGCTCCTGACTTCTGCTTTCAGGTTGGGGCAGCTCCGGCCATTGTGACCATCAGTGGAGTGAACCAGAAGTTGGAAGACCTCTCTCTCTCTGCCTCTCCTTCTGTGTGTAACTCTGACTTTCAAATAAATAAATATTTTTTTAAAAATAGTCCTGGGAATCATGCAAGTGAATTCATTGGCGATCATAAGGTAATGCTTCACATTTCTGCTTATATGTGGTCATATTTTTGTTTATATTTTAAGAAACTTATTAGCACATGAAGTCTGATTTAGTGTAATTTTACTATTCAGAAAACAGGAAAAAGCTCACAGAAATTTTCTGAAGCTGCATGTATACTAAATATTGGTCAAGATTTTCAAGAAGAAATTACTGACAGTGACTGGGAAAATTTCGATATGCTTTTTGATGTCACACAATCCATACATAGCATCAGGATCAAAAGGAAATCCATGCTCAGGGCAATCTTCTAAAACTGGTTACAAAGACTTGGGGCAAGACGGCGGAAGAGGAAGGTAGCACATTGACAGTCTGGGAAAAGACAGTTTAATAAAAGTGGAGATACTGCAGTTTCAAGGAAGAGTTAGGGAAGAAACAGCAGAGGAAACTCTTCCAGAACTGCTGGTTCATGGTGGACTTACGTGGAGGGCATGGCCGCCCATGGCTCGGGACCCCAGCCATAGAATCTATGCACCAGTGCTGGAAAGGGAGGTGAGCCAGAACCTCAGTAGCCTGAGACACCGGTGGGAAAGCAGAAGGAGGAGCCTAGAGGAAATGAGGCTTGAGGCCCTGTGGGGGAAAGTTCACCAGGCTAACTAGAAGAGAGAGGAGAAAAAAAAAGGGGACAGGTATGGACACGAGACTCTCTCCTCTCACCTTTCAAGGGCAAGCAAGACAAAGAGCAGGCACCATTTTGGACATACGTAAAAGCTGCGCAACTTCAGGGCTGTGCCCACCATTAGCTAACCAGAAAAACCTGACTCTTGTGGGGTGAAATAATAGGAGGTTGGGACCTTGTGAATGTGTGGAGCTAATGAACTGAGACTGTGAAGGACTGAAGGTGTGGGAGAGACCTCACGGAGACTTGAGTGCTCTCGGGAGAGTACACAAACTTGGTAACCTTGGCAACCCAGTGGGAGATGGCAGAGAAATTTGAGCTAACACTGAGGACTGCGTAAATCCATTGTGTGGTACTTGGGACAGAGCAGATGAATATTATACCCACAGGAGTCAGAGATCAGAAATTGACTGCCTTCAATTCCGCTCAGCTGTGTGGAATTACTT